ATCACAAATACGGTTTACCATCCAAATCTGCCCTTTGAAAGCTATTGTGAAATAAATTATTATTTTCTTGTCTTGAAATGCAAAAAAGCATCTCAGCATAGAATCCACTGACATCCATGGACAAGAGAAGAATTTCAGAAGTTAGCCAAGACAAAGATACTGCCTAAAACTTTTGTTTCTGGGAAATCAGTTACATTTCAAAAGATACAACTAACACCTCAAGAGATAGGGAAGGGATTACCAAAGGTTGTGGGTTCCAGTCCTTTGAAAAGAAAGGAGAGCAGGGAGGGACCACCCCTGGGGCTCAGAGCATCTGCCAAGGAGAAAAAGAGGGGCTCGGTCAACCCACTTGGACATAGGATGAGACACATCCTTGCCCCTGGGACCATCACACCAGCCCTTGTGAGTAGCTGGCTAAGAATGCCAAGGGGTGGAAGAAAAAGCAGACTCTCCTACAGGAAAGAGTTAAGAACCTGTAGTTACGGTGGTATACCAGAAGTTTTTATACAGGTAAGGGGGTATTTCAACCAATAAATTTTTGTGCATGCTGTGCTTTCATGTATTTCAAAGGGACACTAATTCTGCTATGTTGCCCCTGGGACACCTTCTGGAATAATTTTTTTCATCTGCTACTGGAAAACACCTCAGACTGTCCTAAGCAACACAAGCAGCATTCTGGATTTTTGAATCCACTTGGTCCTTCAACATTTTCTGGTGTTTTGCCAGATAGCCCCAGCCAGCAAGTTACTAGTAAGCCTGAAAAGTCCTGGTTTCACCACCAAAAGTCATTCCTGGGCAAAGACTTGTTTGCCACATTGCTGTGTGGTTATAATGGAAACCTTATAGTCCAAGGACAGCAAGAAAACAACCAGATCTTTGCACCAGTTTTACTACCTATTCAACAGGGCAATTTTTATACTCACTCTTTCAGTCATTATGCCTTATCACTGGCATGCAAGAGAAGTACTGAAATATAATTTGCATCCAAATTAATTTCTATGTAAGCGTTTTCTTTCAGCTCGCAGTGCCCATCAGTGAGATAGAAGCCATGCATTAAAAAAAAAGCCAACACTCAGGCATGGCAGCAGGGGAAAAGGTAAGAGGCAGGTACACTGACTTGGCAGTGGAATAACAGAAAAGAGTCTCAACAGAGTTGGAAGAGGAGCAAAAGGTGGCCAAAAGGAAGAAATGTATCCAAAAAAATGTTGAATGCTCACAGAAGGTTGAACCTCATTTCTGGCAACTGTGAGGCTGCGTTATGAGCCATATGCACTACAGAGTGATAGTCTGCTAAAACAGTATTATCATGTTTGCATGAAAATTTTCCAAAAAGACTTCTCAAAAAAAGAGAGTAAGATCTTCTTGCCCTTGACATACAACTCTAGTGGAGTTCAAGTAAACCTAGCCCACGCACAACCAACAGCCCAAGTGTGTTTCAGATGACTTACATGACACCTTGAAGGACTTTCTGAGGCCTTTTCCTCCTGTGGAGAAAAAAAAAAAAAATAATTGTAATAGTTTATATCAATTCATGTAATGGCAGACAAACAGGAGTGGCTAACACAGCAGCAAGTCTACAAAACCTATCAGGCAAGATAGGAGCAAAACCCCATAATCATATTTAAATGTGCAGTATGTTACTGCTGGGCAACATCCACACAAAGAATTAACCCTGTGTTCAAGTGTGATTTAAAGATGATCGTGTACTTAATGTAGGTAACAATGTGTTACAAGTCAAAGCAAGTTAACGAACAGCTGTTTTCTATAAACAGGGCATGCCAAAGGGGTCTACTTCAGTTATCAGCACTGCCTTAAATGCCAATTTTATTATGTTTAGTTACTATATGGAAAAAACACAAATTCCTGAAAGAAAGAGTTTATAAGAACAGTTAATGTTGCTCAAGAAGCGTACCCAACAAACAAGCCCTCAAAAATAAGGAAGCTCTTATCAAGATATTCTTCTGTAACTTACTTTATCATAACATAGCTACACATTTCAGAGATATATACTGTCCCACACACCTTCAACACGGACAGCAGAACAATAGTCACCTTAACATTCCGGTAGCTACTTTATAAGACAAAATGAACTCTCTTCTCAGCAACAGGACCATACTTGTAAGCTAAATATTTTCGCACCAAAGATTTATTATTCCCTTTGAGAAGATCCAAAGTTGGAGATGGCAAGCATTCCAAAAAACAAGGGTGGGAAAGAGGAAGGGAATTTTCCCTCCAGGTTCTCACGAACACATGCCAGGGTGCATTTTCATTATCTCTTTTTTTTTTTTTTTCTTTTTGCCAGTTCAACTTTTAATTAGGCTTTTCCCATTTTTTATGTTTTCCTTGAAAGAATCTACAAGGGAATTGAAAACTCTTCCTTGCTTTTGCAAGTATCTACCCTTGGGTTGAACCTGCTCCTGCATCCCTATACAGATGTCAGAAGCACCAGCAGCTTTTTGCCTATGGTCTCACATAACTCTGAGAGAACAAGAATCATCTAGAGGCAGCAAGACTCCTTTGTCTCCAGGGATACTGTTAAATTATGCCAAATAAATTCTACAGATAAACTCCACCATATAATGAAAGAGACTATTTTTTGAGAACAGCAGCAGACTTTTATCTACCTGACCTATGCATTTATATGCAAAAGTCTTCTGGACTCCAGAGATCCCATTACTTTCTGTTTCTAAAATATCCTGGCCTTCACCCTATCAACTACTAGGTTTGCAGTATGTAGCAGACAATTCGCATCCAGGCAAACAAATTTTTCAGGTAGTCCCCCAAAATAAAGAATTTACCAGCATCACTGGTTTCACAGGTCTCTTACCTAGTAAGATATTCCAAGGGGGGGGGGGGGGGGTGGGGGAGGAGAGAAAAAGCCCCAAACCTCGGCTCTTTTAGGCAGTATGTACACTATACCTTTTGCATTGTTACTCCCAACGTATGACTCCGATGGGCAGCCGGACTGGGCAGCCAGCACTGGCTGTTCTACTTACTCTCCGCTTTCCCCAAGGAAAGGAAACTAGCGGCAGTTGTCAGACCCCCTTCCGCAACACCAGCGCCCTGCCCACAGATACAACACATCAGCCTCCTCCCTGCAGCAAAAGCCAACAAGGCCGTGTCGTGAGATCCTGAAGAGCTATTAGGAGAGCAGCGTTTTGCCCCCAAAACGGCACCCGCTTGCTAGCGAAGGCTGGGAGAGCGTGCTTCGCCAGCCACAGCCAGCCCGGCACGCTCCTGAGAGACACCCCACTCTCCCCTGCAGCAGCCTGGTTATTACCGCTCGAAATAATATCAACGAACCCTCTTTTTGCTGAGCAGGCGTTTCGGGGGGAGCAAAAACATTTACAGGAGGGCAGCTGAAGAGCTTTAAGTCGTGCCGTGAGGTAAAAATACATGCAGAAGAGCCAGTGCCTCTAACAGAAATGGGAACAGACTCCTCAGAAAAGGGGCGAACGCCGTTTTTCCCCCCTGGAAAGAAGTTGTTGCGACGCGGAGGCACAAGGGAAGGAGCCCCCCGCCGCCGCCCGTGACACCCCTGCAGCCCGCCGCAGGCCGCCA